ATCCTTATAAAATAAAGCATAACATGATATTTGAGGTCCAAGTAATTGAGGAGAAAAGAAGATGTAAAAGCACAAAGTTTCAAATATAACTCGACTTTCTAATAATATTATTATTTTGTTTGTTCCTTGAAGAGTCCGATTCAACCATCATCTCCAATCAGGTCTTCTTCTTGCCCGTAGGTGGATGACTGATAGAGAAATCTTCTGATAAAAAAACAAAGGCATGGATTCCGAATCTGATTAAATACTATTGAGGAACATCCCAAGAGACGCAGATCTAGCTAGCTCTGCTAAGGCCAAAACACCATCAATATTAGCAAACAAAGCTAGTTACCGGACCGTGAAAAACAGAGAAATCTTCTTTAGCTGTCTGCAGGACAAATTACCATTTCTGTAAGAGGAAGTACCACGCCCATGAACCAGGCCACGAGCAAGTGAGTTAATACATGGACGCAGGCATTAATTAGTTGACATCGAATGACGCATGGGCTTCATGATGACCTAACATTAATTGCTGGCCGGTGAGCTCAGGTATACTTTTTAAAGACTCGGGCAGACTCTGGTTCTGGGGCTTGTCATCAAATTTGGCAAAAGCAAATTCATACAGCCAAGGCAAACATTCACCTGTAAAGTATCTAATTACCCCCTTGCACATTTTACTTCATCAGTGAAAAAATAAAATAAATACCGCTAGTTTTTTTTTTTTTTTTTTATACCGCCATATTATCATTTTCAAAAGGGGCATTAAGTATGAGGCCCATGTTGAGATTGACCTTACAATGCATGCAGAGGGCAGACCCCCCATTCTGCGACTGCAGCGTATAATTATTACATACGACATGGGAATTAGGGCTTTGGACTTTGTTTTGTACAATTTTGGTAAACTGCAGAGAGGAACAAAACGAACAGTCAAAAAAGTGGAACTTGTTGCAAAGGCCCTTTTGTATCTAAGCTCCTAGGGTTCTGTATATGTTCTTTCCTTTTCCTTCTGTGTCAGCAATGGAGGGAGAGAGAAAGAGAGATGTGGACGGTTTTGGATTGGTGGACAGAGCTTTGATTTACCAGGAATAGTTGGTGCATATATTATGCGTGCAGCTATTAGCACTACTCTTTTTGCTATTGTTATTTTTATTATTATTTTTTTAAAAAAAATTGTAGGATGACAATGTTGTTACACTCTTCTATCTAAAATATAAATATTATTTATTAAAAATAATCAAATATTTGAAATTGGTATTTGAATCATTAATCTTAAAAAATAATAATATCAAACACTCCACCGTTAGAACATAAGCCATTCATTAATTTCAATGCTCTCTTATTTATTTAATTCAATATCCACGGTATATTTTTGTAACAAATGCCTGGACTCGTATTCGACAAAATATACAATTTTTTTTTTTTGGATCGTGAATAAAATATATGTTTTTGAAATAAAGTGAAATATATAACAAAAAATATTACATATTGAACAAATGCATTTCAAATGCAATTAATAATTTATCTCGAGTATTTATAAATAGAGGATTGAGAAAATAAAAGGTATTTATTTTATTTTTTATTTTAATTAAAATATAAATATAAATATAAATATTTTGTACTAATAATATAGCAATGCGCTTTATTTGTATACCCCAAATTGAAAAAAAAAAAAAAAGACATGGTAAATGTATTAAAAATACAATTCAATTGAATCTTAAGTGACAATTCAAGATCGTTAATTGTTTGAGTATTCTATTTCATTGTGCATATTCTGTTAAATATGAAGTAGGCTATTTGTTTCACCATATATTATAAATAATTAACTCATCATTCCATTAATAACTTTCATCACCATGAACCAATTGGTTTGAATTGAGGATTTCTTTAGAAAGATCACTTTGGCTTTTCCTCTTTTAAGTATACTATTTTTTTATATATATGGTCATCTTAACAGCTATATTTTCTTTTTCTGCTTCCCAAATCCCAATGCTAACAATGCAAAAGTAACTAAAATTCACAACTCCAAGTCTTGGGTGTACAGAGCTATATGCATAGGATGAAGCTTTAAAAAATGCGTTTAAAAAACAATGGGGATTAAGATACAGGGTTAATTAACTATAAAAATAATAAATTATATCCTAAACTTTACTCAATAACTTAAATTTTAAAATTGAATTTTTTTTTATCTTGGTATTAAAATTTTGATCACTAAATCATTACAAGTTCGAATCTTATTATATTCATTTTTTAGTTTAAGTAATATAAATTATATTATGAAATTTTATCTAACAATTTAAATTTTTGAATTGATATAGTGTGTTAACATGTTAACTTCTATTAATCTTGAAGCAATTATATCCTTAATGTTATCCATGCATGGTACGTGTAATAAATTTCATTAAAAAAATTATATATATATTTAAAATTCCTCTTTTTTTTTTCCTATTGCTTATATAATTTTTTAAGTGATTTTGGCCAAAATTGTTCTCTAAGGAAATTTTTTGTGCTTGTCACATGCAGTTTAACATGATCTGTTAATTATTTTTTTTACGAAATATGTATGATAACATTGTTAACAAATGTATATACAGATTACTACCTAGCATGCATTTTGTAGTTATATAACCTGAGACATATAAGAAATCGTCATTTTTTTAGTGGATAAAGAGAACCGTGGCACCCCAGAAGATTTATTTAATTTAATCAACATTTCTCACTAAAAACAGAACGAGAGATCGCATCAATTTATTTATTTATTATTTTTTTGAACTATAGAACGTCATCAGATAAAAACTAAAAGGGAATATTTTCGAAAAGCCTTTACGCAATAGTGTGCTGCTTTGCTATCGAATCCCAAGATAACATATTCCCATTGTCCATCCTATAGGTGCACCTTCCTCTGTGGAAAACGACACATCAACCCATGTGTTTCTCAAACAGCCATTATACCCTCAACCTTTATTTCATGCTGAGTACACATTTTGCATATAAATAGCAGCAGCGTCTTCCTCATCTTTCATGGCACTGTTCAACAGAAGGTCAAATCCCAAGAGCCATTTTCTCCAAACCTTTGTCCTCCTCCTTCACCAAGTCTCTGGTTCTCACCATGGCTCAACTGGGGACTAAAACTTCAGTGCTGTTTGTCTTGAGTCAGAGTGAAATAAATCAAAGAAAGATAATGTTATTATAGAGGCCATGGCTATATCTCTCCTGAGCTTATTCTTCTTATCTATCCCTTCTTCTTTTTTCAAGTCCATAAAAACGGCTTGAATTTTCTTGACCTTGCAAGTCCAAGAATGTCACAATCTTGGTCACGGCCGTTTTATTTCATGCAAGAACAAATTCTTTTTTTGTTTCTTTGAACTGCAGAGATTCTTCTCTTCTTCTTACACTTTTCAATTGTATTTTACTTCAAGTTTGGTGGAGAATATTCATGTGTTAAAGTAAATATTGGTTATTCTTCAATAAACTCTCAGTCAACTTTGCTTTACTTCTTTAAGAGCTGCCGGTACTTATTGCTTGCATTGAGATAGGCTTAGCTTGGCTTCATAAGCATCTCATGATCATGAGCTTCAGTTGAGAAAAATAAGGTGCAGTTTCTATTTTTTGTGCTTGTTCGTGGCTTGCTTTTGTATCCCTCTAGTCTTCTTTTCAGTTTTCTCTTTGGATGCTGTTGGTGTCTACTTAGCTTGTCAATTAAGTAATTTCCTTGTTGGATATATATCTTGTATCTTTCTTTTTAACGTACTTGGTGAATTCTGATCTCATTCATCTCAGAATTAAAAAAAAAATCTACTTTAAATACGTGAATGATTTGCATGGAATGGATTTCACTTGCTTAGTTATAAGGTTGATAACCAGTGTTCACAAGATATATGGCCTTTGGGGATGAGAAATGAGAAATTAATATGGGTTGTGATGAGTTTATTCTGCCCTTTTCTGCCTTATTTCGTAAAGATGGCATTTCCAGACCACCCAAAATATTTTCTATTCTACTTCGCTTTTAGAATTTTCTGGTAACCTCGTGAGCAGCCATAGTGAAAGGGAACTAATTCGCCTCTTTTTTCTTTTTTCCATTTTTCATTTCGTGGAAGGGAAAATGACTTCCCTCTACACCCACGGAAGGCTTTTGCCACTGTAGAATGTAGATGCAGTAGTAGCAGCAAAATTCTTAATGGGCTCTTCGTTCTCTCAAGAAATAGAAATTAACTGCTACAAAAAATTGCAAAATACTTTACCCAATTTATTAAAACAAGGCTGACTGACTTCCACGGCATTTAGGGCCGTTGATGGCCAACCCATACTAGATGAGTTTTCCTGGTGAAGTTAGGCAGTCTGCAAGTAATGGCGAAATGGGAGGAACAATAGTGAGGCACCGAACTGGTCCATAAAAACCCAGTCTGCAGATGTGGACCAATTAGTTAAGAAGGGCTTTAAGCATGCTGAATCGAAATCTAAAACGGAAGCCATTATTTCAGATATTTCAACAAAAAAAAAAAAAAAGGTCAGATATTTCAACCTTCAATAGAAAATCATCTGCCGCTAAAGATAACAGAAGTGAAGCAAATCAATTCCAGCTACATTACCATGGATTCTGGGAGGTCAAATACAAAATACAATAATTAAAAAAAAGAAAAAAAAACCATGTTACTGCATCAACCAAAATTGATGAACCAAGTCTTTAATAATTTTTCACTGTTATCCGCCAAGAAACTACACGATCTATGAGATTTACATAACCCACGAGAAATCATTGGACAGACCTGTCGCAGCAGCCAGTGATAATATTAGGATCTACTGCACCAAACAATCGCCAGTTTTCATCCTCATGAAACTGGTTCGTGTAATAACTTTTCTAAAAATAATTTCCCTTAATTCACAGTCTCTAGAACCACCCAGCTTCAGGCTCCAATGGCATATACACAAGTCAGTATGCTGTCACAAAACAATAGAATAAATAATTTAATTTCTTTCTGTGCTTATATTGCTTTTCGTTTTTCGTTTCCTTTACAAATCGTTCAAGCTGCAAGAACCAATACTTTAATTGTACCCTGACTATTTGCGGCTAGCATTGTATGACTATCACTCTTCCAGCAAACAGCACTGATGAAATAAGATCCTGCATCCTCATCAGCATCCTCCATTTCGGGTGAACCAAATCTATGCCACGTAACAGGTTTAGAGATTTCCTACAATATAAAAGCCAAAACTTCATATAGTTGAACTTGGAAAAGAAGATGTATGAAGACTGATGCTTATTTATACCTAACCTTATGGTAGACAAAGGCTTCATTTGATTCACTCCCACATGCAATATATTCACTGCTTACTGAGAGACCTACAAAGTTTTTCTCATTTGTGTGACCTCTAAAGGTGCGAACCTGAAAGCATAACTCAGAAAGTGTGTCGGCTTAGTTATTCAACTTCGTCTTAATGTATCATTTAAGCAATAACCAGGAAGAAATGATGCCAATCACGCAAAGGCAAGGAGACACAAAAATAACATGATGAAAATTAATTTAATCAAGCAAGCACAATCTTCCATTAATTTATCCACCAAGGAAAATTTTCCGACTGCTTGGAAGAAATCAATCCAGTTTTAATTTTATTTGACAAGGACAGTCGTTTGATGACAATTTTCCCCGTATATTTCATAAATGGACTCAATTTCCCTTCCAACAATTTGAAAATATTAAGTCCCAAGTCAAAATTTAATTAAGCATATGAGAATTGATACTATCTATCTATGAAAAGTCAACATATGAAGCCAAAATACAAAAAAATCTTTTGGGAAAAAGCATATCATATTTGAATTCTTTTGGGGCTAAACCATTATATTAATTACTAGCACAGAATATTTCTATCACATGAACACGTTACTTACCGGCAGATTCTCTTTTACATCCCATAACCTTAATGTGCTGTCTGTTGACGCCGAAGCAAGCTCGTTGTTAGACAAGAATTTAACATATGAAACAGTTTTTCTGTGCCCGCTGAACACATAGAGTGGATGGCTGACATTTCTCAAATCATAGTAGTGAATGTGGTGGTCTGCCGAACCAACCTGAAAAAATTTCAGAACTCATGCATTAAGGCTACATATATTCTATATGAAAATAAATATCAGGAGCATGTCCATTCCAGAGGGTGAGGCTCCATGCTGGTTTTTGAATTTATGATTTAAATAATCAAAAGGTACCTCAAGAAAGATGTGCATCACACACATCTGATGAACACAACCTTTCTTTAAGGTCACATCAAACAAAAACTTTCTTCTTTATAGTTGAATTTAGCATGGGATAAAAAATTTGAAGGGGTAAGGAATTAAGTTTTAAGGGCTTTAGAGTGTAAAAAAATATTAACTGTGAAGCGTTAACGGATGATTGGTTGGATGTAAGGGTGAACACTAATCAGTTTAAACAAAAAAATCAAACAGAACAGAACCAGAATATGGTTAAGTTTTTAACTCAAAAAAAAAAACTGATTTTTTTTTTCCAGTTCGGTTTGGTTTTTGTAATTTTTGGTTCGCTGTAAACCAAAAACCATTTTTTTTCTGACCTTTTTTATTTTTTGTTCGGTTTGGTTTCTGAAATTTTTTGTTCAGTTTAAACAGAAAACCAAAAAAAATTTCCAGAATTTTTAAAGTTTTAAAATAATGCAAATAAACCAAAAACATCAATACATTACCTTAATATTAATATTATTATTATATGATGAATTGATGGTGTTTTTGATCTATTTACATTATTTTTTAAAAAAAATTAAAAAAAATATTCGGTTTAAAACCGAAAACTGAATAGTAGTTCGGTTCAGATTTGGTTTTTGTTTTTGTAGGTTCGTTTAATAAAAAACCGAATGCTCACACTGGTTGGATGTATGGAAATAAAGCATAATTGATGGGACCCACATGTCAACAGCATACAACTTTTCAAAAGAAACAAAACGAAAATTTGATGGCACCCACGTATCAAAAGACAAGTTTTCAAGGGTAAAACTTACTCTCCATGCATGGAGGGTAACATTTCACCCCACTTGGAGGTGAAATGCTCTCCTCAACTTTTTGTGTTCCAAACAAGGGGAAAGGGTTGAAATGTTACTAGGGCAACTTTCCCCCTCTTTCACCCCCTAACAAAGACATCCTTAAGGATAAGGTTTTCATATAATGTTAGTAGGCCAGCAACAACATCCCACTCCCTTATCAAGGGTGCTAGGTCCAGCGACCCTACTCCATTTTATGCCAAACCCAAAAACCACACAAACCCAAAAGTGGATTTCAAAGAAGAGAATGTCTATATCCATGCATGCATGCTTGCTTTTGTATAGATGTGTGGATTTGGAGTATGAGACCAAGTCAATAATGGTTATTCTTTGCAGAAGCATACCGCAATATGATTGCTAGATCCAGGATTGTACTTGACACAACAAATATTTGCTTTCATGTCAATGTTTAGAACGCTAGCCTCCTGATTTGTGCACCAAACTTTGACCTGGTTTACATAAAGCACAGATTCAGAATATTGTCAGTCAATTTTTACCTCTTTTTGAATATAACACAACTCAAGATGAAGATTGCGCCACAATATATATATTTTCTTTACTTTGGTGCTGTTTGTCTAGCCAGCACATGCTTCACAACTTGAAACTTTACCCGTAAAACATAGACTTCCCATTCATTATAAGCACTTCGCTAAATTATCTTAAAAATAGGCAGAAGCATAATCAAACTTTCTTCAACAGCTCATCACAGGTATTCAATATTATAGTTCATGCACCTACCAGCATATCTGCCTTTTTCATAGTCAACACCAGCAGTAAAATTTTCATATAAAATTATTTTCTTCATGTCGGTAAAAAATAAAAAATAAAAAATAAAATCATATTTCAACATAAAAGACATGCAATGTCACCGCTGATCTATTTGCAAGCTTACAAAGTGCTTTAATAACCAAATCAAATAAACTGCAAGGGCACTTTTTTGATATCAGTGATGACAAGCACTCCCATGAAAATGCAAGATTTTGCATACCATTGGAAAATGATAGTCATAATTGTCATGGGAATGATGCAAATATGAAAACCAAAAAACCAATATAACTTACTCAAACTTAGGAGAAAAGTTCAACAGAATTTCCAGCATTACAGAAAACCCAATAAAATATGCACAATACCACATATTTGACTGGTTCTTCTGGAAAGCAATCCGATCCTAGAAAATGCCTTATTTTTTGTAGAAGATTCTAGACTATGCATTTGTAAGTAAACAAGGCTTGATTCAGTATACAAATGAGTTTTTGCATACTGTCAAGATGTATATTAGCTGTAAATATGATTATTATTATTATCTGATAGATATTAGGGGTATTAATGTTATCCCTTAATTTAGTAGTTTCTTACTCTGACTCTAGGACTTATTGTATATTAGCTGTAAATATGATTCTAGTTAAGATTATCTCTATCCCTAGATTAGGTAGTTTCCTACTCTGACTCTAGGAATTATTGTATATATATTCTGATGCATTGTATATTTATTCTTATGCATTGTAACCTATGTAAGGGAGAATAAATAATTTTTCCTCTCAATTTTCTTCAACATGGTATCAACGCCTTAGGGTTTCTTTTCCGAAATTCTGCCACTGTACAGCCTTTATTGCTGTCAGTTTTCTTCAATTTTTTTCCACAGCCTTAATTGCTGTAATTTTTCCATAGGTTTTTGTTTCTAAACCTTCTATTCCATCACTATGTCTACAACCAAAACTTCCATCTCAGAGGAAGTAAATTCTGTCCAAAAACCTAGCAAGTTACAAAACATTAGGGCCTCCTATCGACTCAATGGAAAAAACTATCTGGAGTGGTCTCAATTCATTCGTACATACCTAAAAGGTAAACGAAGACTTAGTCATATCATAGGAAAGGGACCAGAAAAGAAAGGTCCAGCATTTGAAGCATGGGATGAAGAGGATTCAATAATTATGTCACGGCTTTGGGACTCGATGGATCCTACCATTAGTGACACCTGCATGTTTCTTGCTTCTGCAAAGGAGATTTGGGAGTTTATCCAGCATACTTACTCAAAGGATCATGATGCGGCCAGAATTTGAGGTAAAAATCAAAACTGGGGCAGCAAAACAGGGAGATAAAACTGTTACAGAATATGCCAATATCTTGCAGAATTTATGGCAGGAACTTGATCATTATCGAGTATTTGAGATGCAGTGTGTGGAGGATGCTGCAATCCTAAAGAATTTTATTGAGAAAGATCGAGTGTATGATTTTTTGGCTGGTTTGAACCCGGAATTTGACCGGGTAAGAGTCCAGATTATTGGCAAAGAAGAGATGCCATCATTGGAAGAGACAATTTCGTTAATCAGAACCGAAGAAAGTAGAAGAAACATTATGCTCAAAGTCCCAACAACAGAAGGGTCTGCACTAGCAACAGAAGGAGATCAACCGGAGAGAGGGAGGACTGACAAATATCCTCAGTTGAAGGATAAAATAGACAACGTGTGATGTACATATTGCAAGACGCCGAGACATACCAAAGAAAGATGCTAGAAATTAAATGGTAAACCTACAGATAGTACATTTGATAGTACTTGTACTCTTATCTCCCTAGTCATTCTCCTCTTCTTGATTCTCCATTAGAGTCTGTTCCTAATCCAAAACAGAGTCCATCATCAATTCCTAATTCTGCAGAATCTAATCCGAAGCCAACTCAGGTTCTAGAAACTGTATCTTCTCAAGTTCTAGATCATGTTATTCATAATGATCTGAGATTTTCACAGGTATATACTAAAAGGATTGTTCCAGACTTGCAACAAGTTCTAGAATCCTACCCAGTCTCTGACAAGAACCCCATGGTAAGATCTAATCCAACCCTAAGCACACAATCAGTAAAACCACTCAGTGACCTTCGCATGGCTATCAGAAAAGGTAGTAGAGAATGCAACAAAAGACCCATATACCCATTGTCTCACTATGTGTCACTTAAAAACCTGTCACCAAACCATAGACAATTCATTACCAGCCTCAACACCATTTCTATCCCCACTACTGTATCTGAGGCATTGTCAAAAAGAGAATGGAGAAATGCCATGAAAGAGGAGATGGCTGCTCTAGAAAAGAATCAAATATGGGAGATTGTGGATAAACCAAAAAGGAAGAACATAGCTGGCTGTAAGTGGATTTTTACACCTAAGTATAAGGTTGATGGATCACTTGAGAGGTCTAAAGCAAGATTGGTGGCTAAAGGATATACTCAGACTTATAGGATAGACTATCAGGAGACATTTGCAACTGTGACAAAGATGAACACTGTTAGGATTCTACTATCCCTAGCAGCACATTTTGATTGACAGTTGTTACAATACAATGTGAAGAATGCATTTCTTCATGGAGACCTAGATGAAGAATTTTATACAGATGTCCCTCCAGGATTTTAAAAAGAAAATGGGAATAAAGTTTGCAAGTTGAAGAAGGCCCTTTGTGGACTAAAACAATCACCGAGAGCATGGGTTAGAAGGTTTACTAAAGTTATGAAAGCTTCTAGATACCAACAGAGTTAGTGTGATCATACCCTTTTCATAAAGCAATCAGCTACAGAGGGAGTGACAGCACTTCTAGTGTATGTAGATGAAATCATTGTCACTGAGAATGATGAAAAGGAAAAAATAGAACTGATACAATGGCTGGCCAAGGAATTCGAGTTAAAGGAGCTTGGGAGATTGAAGTACTTCTTAGGTATTGAGGTGGCATAATCCAGAATGGGGATTTTCATATCCCAACAAAAATATGTGGTTGATTTATTAACGGAGACAGGGAAAATTGGATGTAAGCCAATATCTACACCCATTGAAGCTAATCAAAAACTCGGAGAAGCCAAAGAAGAACCTTTAGTGGATAGAAAAATGTACCAGAGGCTAGTAGGGAGGCTCATCTACCTTGCACATACTTAACCAGACATAGCATACTCTGTAAGTGTAATCAGTCAGTTCATGCATGATCCGAGGGAGTCACATCTACAAGCCGCTTATAGAGTGTTACAATATTTGAAAGGAAATCCAAGAAAAGGAATCTTGTTCAAAAGACAAAAGGATCTTGCCCTTGAAGTCTACACTGATGCAGATTATGGAGGATCTATAATGGATAGAAGATCAACTACTGGGTATTGTATGTTCCTTGGAGGTAATCTTATAACATGGAGGAGTAAAAAACAGAATGTTGTGGCTAGATCATCTGCCGAATCAGAATTCAGAGCAACTGCTCAAGGTTTGTGAGATGTGTTGTGGCTGAAGATTATCCTAGACGACTTGAGAATCAAGTGGGAAAGTCCTATGAAACTCTACTGTGATAATAAATCTGCTATCAACATTGCTCATAATCCTATACAACATGATAGGACAAAGCATATTGAGATTGACAAGCACTTTATCAAAGAGAAGCTAGAGGAGGGATTGGTATGCTTATCTTATGTTCCTACAGGGTACCAACTCGCAGATGTTCTTACCAAAGGGTTGACTAGCTCCAATTTTCATGATAATATTTCCAAGCTGGGAATGGAAGATATCTATTCCTCAAATTTGAGGAGGAGTGTCAAGATGTATATTAGCTATAAATATTATTATTATTATTATCTGATAGATATTAAAGGTGTTAATGTTATCCCTTAATTTGAGGGACTCTAGTTAAGATTATCTCTATACCTAGATTAGGTAGTTTTCTACTCTGACTCTAGGACTTATTGTATATATATTCTGATGCATTGTAACGTACGTAAGGGAGAATATATAATTTTTCCTCTCAATTTTCTTCAACACATACCTTACAATCATCACTACCAGATACAAGCATCGAGGGTTCTGTGCGAGAAAAATCAACACTCCATGCACGTTTTTCATGCTCTTCATATTCCATCACACTCTGCAAAGAAAATTATACATGTTTGTAAACAAACTATGATAATAGCACAAAAGTTATAAGACAGTATTGAAATTCATCAAAATACTTCAATTAGTACCTGCCTGGTTGTCACATCCCAAACAGTTACTATTCCCTCGTAATCACTACTGGCTATATGATTTTTAGCAAACTTGTTCCAACTCAAGCAGCTAAGTTTAGAACGTGTTGACATCTCCACAACAGGGCAGTGCACATCTGCAGGTTGATTCACAACCTGGAAGGCGATAGCATAGGAAATGATAAGAACCAGCTAACCAACAAAAAACGACTCATTTTCAGACTAAAAAATTAATTAATGCATTAACTTAAATGACCAAGATGTATTCTATTAGTGCTCTCCTTTGGCAGATTTCTTGACCTCCTATATGGTAAAACCACAAGACCAACAAGATATAGAAAACATGGAATATACTTCCAACAAAAGTGACTATGGTTCAACAGGTACCAAAAAAATTATGAAATGAAACACTGCTCTTGATATTTCATACGCACAACCTACATAGTTTGGCCTGATTGGCAGAGAGGTGTGTTTCTTCCTTAGCTACCAAGTCAAACCTCGACCTAGAGAAGTGAAATTTTCATAAATCCCTAAGTCCCACCCTCGATAGCCAGCCTTTAACTAGACTGGTGCCCAAAAGTTGGCCTGAGGATACCCCTAGCCGTAAAACAAAAAAAATGTTTCATATGTACGGGTAGAACCATAGAAAAGCATTCCAATCAGAATGAATCCATCAGTTCTCTGTAGAACTTTTGTGAATCAAGAATTTTGAGATGTCAGTGAAAACACACCCATCATCCACTTGATGACGCTTTCCACCACTAGTCCACAATTTACTATATGGAATATCCCTATGGATGGGAAACACTCAAATACTACCATGATCAAACTGCAGGACATAAACTCTATCTATAGCATATTTTTATTCTCATTTTCTTAGACATTATGCAGAAGTGAAAAGGAGATTGAAATAAAATCTGAAACTGCTATCTTACTGAAGAAAAGTCAAAGACTTTGATTCGCCGTGAAACTCCAGCAGTAGCAAACAATTCATCATCACGGTCAAATTCTATGCTGCAATCCGCATTTTTAAGTTGAACATTTAAGAAGAATTGAATAAAATATAAAAGTAAAGAATAAGGAGAAGGCAAAAGAGAAGCTGGATCAATAACTCAAGTAACAAGTTTCTTATCAGCTAGAACAACAGCATGTTCAACTAATGTTACAGGTAGCATCATGAAACCAAACTGTCCACCATTTCAACCAGCAAAGTCCCCCAACTGCCAATTATTGTATCCAATTTTTTAACCATCACAACGTTTTTGAAGATTACACCAATTACCAATTATTTAGGGACGCAATTCACTGAAGAGTTGCTTTCCTTATGGAGAAAGGCCACTTGTATATTTACAACTGACAATAGCTCCAGCAGAGTTTTGTATCTGAAATATGGTGAAGTATTCGAGTATCTTACAGCAACATAAAGCAATTCGTCATCCCAAATTCACCAAATATGATTGACATTCCATCGTTCAGAACAATTAACTAACCTTGATACTATATTGGCTGAGTGAAATATATCCCCATGCCTGAGTTCAGCAATGACCCTTAACCGACTGTCAGAAAAAACAAAAGAAAAATACTCATAAATCACAAGCATATGAAATAAAAACAGGGTAATACGCCAAAATAGAAAAATATTTCAAAAAAGAACTGGAGATTGATATTTATACCTGTACTGAGTAAACGTACTCAGCACTGATTGGAAATCTGCCAGACCAGCACTGTAGCCTTCTCTATATATGACATTTTTATCCCTTTCTGACTGGTTTTGTGGATGACTTGCTAACTGGCGGCGCTTTTGCAAGTAACACTCTTGCAGGTCATTGAACTGCAATGAGAGAAACAAAATGGAATGGATCAGCGAGAAAACAAAACGTCATTTGAAAGTTTCTAAAAATGGTTCCTAAAAAAGAATCCTGAAAATCACACTGCAACAAGAATATACACATAACTCATCTGTCGCTACCCGACAAGTAGGATGAGGTTCTATCATCTTGAGCAGAGCTAGAATAATAGCTGCATTGACATCTTAATATCAATGAGGTTGATCAATAGCATTAGGTTTCAGGCTTTTGTCTTTCCGTTATATTGAAGAGTTGAAGTTGTCTAATTGCCATTGACAAACATGCAGCAAACTGCCAAACGAAATATTGAAGATTACCAACCTGAGCATGAATGCGCTTTTTCCTTACTACAGATAAACCTGACTGATTATGTAGCAGGTCAGACCCACCTAATGTATCCTTTCTCTGGAGCCCATGAGAACTTACTTGAGCCTTTCCATCCATTTTCTTGGTTGGAATATTCCCAGCAGTCAGCCCTCTGGCATTAAGAGAACTGTTGACAACATCACCATGTTTCTTATCTATTGTTGAAGGCCTTGGTATTCTCACGTTGAAATCATCTCCAAGCATTCGCAATTTCATAGAGTACCTATCCCTAGCACGATACAACTCGATTCTGTGTTTTTCTACAGCATCTATGTCCCCCTTGATATACTGAAGATCGGTTTGTACCTACAACAGTAAGAATCTATCCATCAATCCTCTCAACTATTACAACCGTCTCAATAAACGCTATGAACAGCACTCCATCAACAATCACATGAGCTAAAAGTACAGAAACACAAATGAAGATTGGCAGATATTAATGGAAAGGTGCAAAATGCATGGGAAGGGAAAGGAGTATTGATCAGGTCCAAACATTTAGAAGCGTACCTCATTCAATTCATCCACCTTTTGCTTCCGCAGGTAGTACAAGAAGTCTAACAGTATCTGCATATTTCTCTCAGCCTCTTCTTGTTCCATTTTTCTCTTCCTCTCAGCAAGAAGCAACATGAGGGTGTCCAGCTCCTTAATTGAAACTTCACAGCCCTGATTAATGATCACGAGAATGTGTCATTTTCACATGCATATGAAAGGAAAAATCAATCTAGTGCATGACTTAATTTGTTTGCTGCATCTGGACAAGCCAATCAAAAGTTCAAAGATTGCAGAATAAACAGCCACGCAGCCATATGGTTATTCAAAATTTATAACAAACTCTTAGTAAAAGTTTCATGCAAATCTCTTGTAATTATTAACTGTGCTAGAATTTCTCGGAACTAATGACTCGAAATATAACCATAAGCATACGATACAAGGAGCTATTTTGCCACTCTGGTCTTACCAGAAATATTTAACAAGCAAATCACACTTAGAGAATTACTAACTCTATGCAGAGCTACAATTTCCTACTCCTCTCGTTCAAATCAAAAATAAAATTTACGAAGTGATTTAAACGTTGAAAAAAAATTGAAGTGATTTAGAATGCAATGAACTGACCTGCTGTAACGATTGGCGAAAATGTTCAATAGGCGATGCATTCTTCGATGTTTGACGAGCAGAGGCCTTCTTCAATAGCTACAAATGTGAACCGTTCACAAAAACTAACAATGAGCTGCAATTTCCAAGGGAATATCATTTCAAAATTTATATTTAACTTTTTCTAAGTTTTAAATCAGATTTTTTTTTTCAAAATTGACAATTAATTAATGTTCAATTAAACGAAACGCTAATTTCAATCATTAGAAACATTAAACAGGAATATAGAATTGGAAGGAAAAATCGAAAAGGAAAAAAAGAAAATAAAAACCTTTTGGAGCAAGAAATTAGGGAAGAGCTGATTGGTAGTGAGGTAATGGCCACAGCAAGGGCAATCGTTCTTGTTACGGAGGTGAGTGATGATGCACATGTAGCAAAAGCTGTGACCACATCCTGTCAGGAAGGCATCTTTTATTATTTGCATGCATATCGGACAGAGGAAATCCTTATCTAGCTCAGCTTCTTCTTTGTCCGGGGCGTGGGAGGGTTCAGGCGACGCAGCTGCAGCAGCGGTGGAGGTTGATGGTTTCGGCTCCGGCTTCACCGCTGGGACGATGGCCCCCGTTGAGACCTCTTCCATTTATAAAGAGTTGCTCTTCTATCTCTGTTTCGGACTTCCGGTATCGTGTGGAATAAAATAAAATAAATGTGTGCTGTCTCTGTGCTTTTGTGTTGCATTTGGAGTCACAGGAGAGTTAGAGGAGAAGAAAATAAAGGAAGAGTGGGGTCCAGTGTGTGGGTTGTAAGGGTGAGAATGGTACACGTGATTCTACTGCTTCTTTCATTTTTTATTTTTTTCCCCTTCACTACATCTACGGTTTGCTGGTATATAACGGGGTGAAAATCACGACTGACTTTATATTATTAATTAATTTTTTATCATCGGGACCCTTCTACGTAAAAGTAAGTATGTTTTAAAAAAAATCGAATCATGGGAACCAATTTGAATAATAAATTTTTAAAAACTTTAGAGAATAAGTAATTTAAAATGAAAAAAAATAAAGTTATACTCAAATTACCTGAATGCTCATCTCTATCTCTATCCTTTCTGATACAAAGCAAACACTGTACCTAAAACATTGAACACAGTTGTCCTTCCAATAAATTACGTTAATTGGTTAACTAACATTTATCTAATCACATGTTAAGAGGAGTGTACTTGAAAATGTGATTTTTAATTAACAAATATATTTCTAGAAAATTGAAGGGCGAACCTCAAAAATACCACCTAATTATCTACATAACCTCGATATTACCACCAAATAATTTTAATAATAATTTTACCTTTACACTTTTAAAAATACTCAATTGAGGATTTACGTCCGTTTTTAATGGTTTTCATCTATATTTTAGTTCAAATTATATTTATTTTTTAAAAAAAAACAACTCTATTTTATAGAGAGCTTAATATTTTTCTAACTGATTCTAACAAGTTTTTAATTGAAAAATTAAAATAATTTAGTGGTAAAATTAATATAAATAACCCAAATAATTTGATGGCATGTTGAATGTTTGCCACAAGTTAACCAAAAAAAGTAAGTAGTTATTTTATTTAAAAATATAAAGAAAAACGAACTAACTAAACAAACGGTTTGAAAAATCGAAAGTTAAAAAATAAAAATAATTATAATTAGAATAATAAATTTATAGTATAAGTACTATCGATCAAATAGAAAATAGTACTCTAACTTTAATTTTTTCAAATCAAGTATTATGTTTATTTTTTGACTTGTAATCGAGTCTAATGATCTCGTTTATCAACATCTAGACACATGTGACATATACATGATGGTAAAATGATTAAAAAAAATCTCATACCTAGATTAAGTGGTCCAACATATTTTTTCATATGTTCCTTTTTCTTCTCCTTTCCTTCCTGTATATATTCAATCAAAATAAGTTTATTAATGCTCAGTTAACATTTGATTTTACTTCATTGTGTTTTAAATTTTTTATTTGATAATACGTCTATGTACATATACGGCCTTTCTTGTCTTGCAAAATGAATCATAGTTGCTCTCTAAATTTAATTTCTTTTCAAGTTGATTATTACCATATATAGAATGCCAAATCAAGAAAGAAACTCTCAAAGCAAAGTGTTAAAGATTTTTAGAAAAGAAAAACAAGTAAAAGTTTTGATCTAATCCATAAAAAATTGAGTTAGTAAAATGTAGCTTTTATTTGAGCTGCAAAAAAAAAAAAAAAAATCAAATCCCTTGTTTCCCTAACGACATGCCCACCTCAACCCTCTTATTTCCTTTATCATATCAAAAAGATTATATTGCTTTTCTCTTGTAATCAAATCATCTCTAAAATTAGATGGAGAAAACAAAAGGAGGTGCTGGTGAAAACGAAAGAACAAATTATTTTAGGGTCGAGGTTTAAGAGGTAGAGAGAGCACATGTTAAACGAGGAGAGAGTGGACGCGATCTATAGGAAGAAGGGGTATATAGAAAAAAGAGGGCAATGATGATGCATTGTAGATAATGCTAAACGTGACGGTGAAGGTGGCAGATGAGGAGGGAGAGAGGGAGGTGATGATAGTGGTGGAAGGAAAAAGTATAAATGAGAAGAAATATATAGACGTAAGAAAATGAGATATGCATGGAGAGAGGGTAATTAAATGATTTAAGGTTTTCTCAAAATCTCATTTTTGTTTTAATCTAGAGGTGGGGGTAATTTATAGTTTTACAACACCAAGTTGGCCAACGAAAAGTACTATATTCATGTATCTTTTATTTATTAAGCTATATTATCATCATGTACGAAAAATATATCTTGATATTGATCAACGAAATCACTCGACTTAATTATAATACTCTAATTAAAAAAATAAAATTGAAATACCAATCTCCATTTTATCGAAATACAGAATACTATCAACCCAATTAGCCTCACAGTTAATCGAGAATTCAAGGATTTTGGGACAAAAGAATCCATCAGAACACCAGAACTTTCAATTTCATGAACTCCGCCGCCAGTGCCTTTCCCTTTATGGGTCAAATGAGAAAATCTAATTGTACTACATGCTCTAGGACTGTCTGCCTACGATAAAAGTTCATTATTTCTACTTTCTTCTTTATTTTTTAAAAAATGGCGATATGATATGATCGACCTTAGAATAGTAAACCAGATTTCAACTTCTTCTTTGTCCTTTCATATCGGGCAAAACAGAGCATTCTCAGTGGATGCTAAAAGTTTAACTAAAAACTAAAACAACTGGGATAAAATGAACAGTAATTTACTTTTCATTTTAACAGTATTTACAAGGGCATTTTTGTAATTTTCTACGATGGTATTTTCATTATTTTTTTAAATTTTTTTGCATTAAGTTTTAAATTTTATATTTCATTTCTTTTTGATCCTTTATTTTTTTGAATACAATATCATGAAAATTATATTTTTAAAGTTTTTTTTAATTCTTTATTAATATTTTAGTTAAAATTATAATAATTGTTAATTTTAAAATCAATCCATAAAGAAGAATGATTTATATTTTTTTAAATAAAAAATTTATAAAAACATTAGAAAAAATTAATTGAGTAAAATATTATAATTAAAATTTTTTTAAATAATTCCGTTCTATCGGACCTATTGCGTAGCACGGACAACGGATTAATTTTAATCTAAAAAGGCATTTGTGCAAAATTTCCTGACTTGAATGTTAGTTTGATTTTTTTATGTTTATTTATTTTTCATTTTAAAATAATAATTAAATTACTTTTTTATTATTTTTTATTTTTAGAAAAAAATTCTCCATTTGAAATTACGTTTTCAAGCACAATTTGACACTTGTCAACATCTAATTGAATACATGTTAGTCAATTAGCATCATTAGATCAACTGCGTAAAGGAGTTTGATTAAAAAAAAACATCATGTCCTAATTTTTTCGAATATCAAGTTTAATTTGCACCAGAATTGAATAAAAAAGTTCAAATGACAAAAAAATAATAATACAAAGACACTTAATGATTTTCATCCATGTGTAATAGACTTCTTTTGGCATTGCTCCAAGTCCAATTCACCAATTTACTATGTAATTTATAGAATAATAAAATATAGAACCAATATTAGGATTAAAAGAGATGTGTTTAAAACTTTCATTATTTTGTATAAATTTAATTTGTTTTCTTAAAATTTAAGGAGTTTTTAAATTTTTTTGCTAATATTATGTTCATATCAATTACCACTCGAAGTTTCATCAAAGTTTCAAGTCTTTACTTCTATTTAATAAACTAACATGTTGTATTTTTATTTTTTTTTATGTTTCAATTGATTTCCTAAATTTTTGAAACAGTTTTAGCTAAGCATGCGTTCTCCAATCATATTAGCTATCTAGTTTTTTCAATTAGAATTATAATTTTTTCTTGTATTTCTCAAATTTATAAGCTTTTAACATATAAAAAAATGATAAAAATATGCAAACACAAACTATAAATACTCTAGTGAAATCATAATGATCTAACACAAATTTAACATAACTTCTTGATAAAAGAAAAAAAAATTAACATAGCTTGTTGGTTGGTAGGTTTCATCCTCTTATACTCTTTTTTTTTTTTTTTTACATATATATATATATATATATATATATATATATATATATATATATATATATATATATATATATATATATATAAAGTGTTAGTGTTGTAAAATGTAAAGTTTAACATAACAAAATTAATAATACTAATACACTATATATATTTTTGTCTAAATTATTATTGAAATTTCCACATTTGATCCTTCAAATTGTATTAAAATTTATAAATTTAGACTAATAACTAATGATGTTGCATTTCATATTTAAAATAATACTACTTTTTTATATATTTTTTTCAAAATCCGATGAGATGTATTTTAACATAATTGAAGGATAAATATTTGATTGAAACTTTTTTAATATTTTAAGAAGTCAATTGAAATGTAAAAAAATTGTGATAATTGCACTATAAGTATATGAACTTTTAACTTTTTTTCAATAAAGAACATGGAATTTAATTATTTTTGTTTGAATACATAGATTTTTTCAAACTTATTAATTAAGTGCTTTTGTCAACATTTTCATGAACTAACAACATGTCCATTACCTATAGAGTACCAAATTATAATTTTATCATCTTTTTTTTTCTCAACTAAGGACAATGACTTTTTTGTTTGAGTACACCGATGTTTTTTAGAATTACTAGCTAAGTAGCTCTACTAATTTTTTTATTAACTCGATGAAATATTTGTTAATAAATTATAATCTTATCCTTTTATTGTTGATGGAAACTCTTCTCCCAAATTACAATACCATTCAAAATTTTGATAACATGAGTGAAAAAATTTATTTTTTAACTATAAAATTTTGAACTAAACTCAATTAAATTTGCTATTAAAAAAAATTAGTTAGGTTTAGGCTTGAAAATTGAAGAAAAGCATAAACTTGAGAGTTTTCCAAAAAAAAGAATCACTACCTGAAGGTGAAAGTTTTCTTTAACAGAAAGAAGACAAAATTGTGTATTAAAAGAGTAACGGACACGTCATCAATTAATATAGAAATCGACATAAGTAATTGATTGATAATTTTTTTAAAAACGAGGATATTTAAATAGAAAAAATTGAGTCAATATACTTGATTGAGAACAACGAGTGTCAAAATTTTAATTTGGTACTTTGGGAGTAATGGATTTGTTAAAAATCAATGAAAATAATTAATTGATAGTTTTGAAAAAAACCGATATATTCAGTTCAAAAAAATTAAAGTTTCCATACTGGATCGTAAAAAAAATTAAAAGTTTTTATATTTACAGTGTAATTATCTTTTTAAAAAATCATATTATTATTTATTCTAGTTTAATGGATGAAAAAAAAATGATATTTTGATGAAAGTTCAGGAATGTAATTGATACAAACGAAATTTCATGGGAGAAATTTTGAAATCTCATAACTCCTAGGAACAAATTAAAATTTACCCTGTTATTTTCCTAAGAAAAATTATTTCCCTCCATTGCCTTTCTCTTTCTCTACAGCGAGGAGTTGCAGGCAGACGAGAAAGCAAACAGCGAGTGTATTTTCTCTAGCTCGCTCCTCATAACCCCCTCCCCCCAAAACCAAGTCTATTAGGGTACGATTTCTTACTCATCTTCACTTCTCCACCTTCCTTAACGCGATTATCGATTGTTTGTTTCTCGTTTCGCTCAAGCTCTGGTCATTTTTAAACTCCTCTTTACCTCTTGTTTCATATTTTTTGAAATTTCTGGCTTCGTTTTGCTTGAATCGTACTGTTTTGAGTGATATTTTTGTCTATTTTGCTCTGCATTGTTGTTTATTGCTGTGACTATGCCGGTGTTAGTGTTTTCTCTTTCTTTTAAGCTCCATTTGCGTTTTTTGTTAGCTAGAGATTGTTTAGCTATTGATTGTAACTGCAATTTGCTCGTGCTTCTATTTTACTAATATTATTATTCCCTTTTTTTGTTTTTTTTTTTAAAGGATTTAGCAGCAATATGCCCTCCTCGTTTTTTTCCTCTTCTTACTTTCTAGTCTTTTCTTTTTGTGTTGATTTGGTGGAATTTCTCTTTGCATGTCATTTTGGTTCCGATTCTACACCTATTTTTTTTCTGAGTTTTTGTTTTGTTTAACACAAAATTAAAATAGTACGCATATGTGCTTTCATTTCCGTGGATGAGAGATTTAGCTTATCTTTTTTAAAATAAAAAATCGTGTGTGATTATTCCATAAAGATTGGAAATGGGTATTTTGCTTATTTATTTATTTAACTCATGGTTTATATTCATGTTATGATTTTTAATTCTGTGGGATGATACGCTATTTTTTATTTTTTGGCAGCAAAATAATTGTCTGTTTTTGTTTTTGTTGGTGTGCTTTTACTTTCGTACTTAACATTATATCTTTTGGCTTTTGTAATTTGCTCTTTTGCTGGAGCTATTTTGGCCGATTTGTTCTTCCTTTGCATCTCTGTTTCTTCTGTTCTGAATTTTATCCTTCTTGCGTTTGAAGTGCTCATCATCTTCTCGATATCTTTTGATTATGTCACTCATTTTACAAAATACAGTGGCCTTCTGATCCGCATGATCATCATTATTTTTAGTTTAAATTCTTTTAATATGTGTCTGCTTATTCGTTTCAATGACGAGGTTGAATGAGTACTGTACAATTTGAGAAAATGTTATCACACTGTTCATATAGTAATGGTTTTTTTGAATCTTAATTATCTATTGCTGTTGCATAATTTATTTTTTGTTGATGTAGTTCAGGTTGTTGGTTCAACCAAAAGATGGAGAAAATATCAGGTGGATCCCCACCTTCACCTCCTCCACTGTCAACACCAGCAAACGTGAAGCCAGAAGTGGTTGAAGTTCCCCAGCATCCAGAGCGGGCAGCCATTCCCAAATATTCTATGATCAGTAGGCGTGGGGTTGGGACTAGTGGGTGTCGCATATCTTTGCTCACCAACCACTTTAAAGTTTCTGTTAATGTTCCAGATACATTATTTTACCAGTATAGTGTAGGTTTACCTTGTTTTTCTCTTCTATTAGCTCAGATTCCCCATATCGTTGTTCCAAAACTTAGTGTGTGACACAATTTGCAGGTTTCCATTGCTTCAGAAGATAATAAAGCTGTTGAAGGCAAGGGAATTGGGAGAAAGCTGATTGATAGGCTTTACCAAACATACTCCTCAGAACTTGCTGGTAAAAGATTTGCTTATGATGGAGAAAAAAGTCTGTACACTGTGGTTCCTCTTCCACAGAAAAAGTCAGAGTTCACAGTTGTGCTTGAGGAATCATTTGCAAAACAGTGTGTGATTTTTCCATTAACTTCTCTGGTTTTTGAATGTCATTTGTGGTTCTGCAACTTACACTTCGTTCCTTTTTGTGTGGTAGTGAAAATGGGAGCCCTGGTGGCAGCAAGTGCCCTCCTGCAGCTAGCAAGCGATCAAAGCGCTCTTTTCGGTCAAGGACTTTTAAGGTAGAAATGAGTTATGCTGCTAAAATCCCTTTGAAGTCAATAGCTCTTGCCCTCAAAGGAATTGAGGTAGACAATTGTACTCAGGATGCACTTAGAGTGCTGGATATTATCTTAAGGCAGCAAGCAGCTAACAGGTTCTATAGTTGCCTTCTTCCCATATTTTCTATTTCTTTTTTATAGGTTGAATGTGGTCAGTTGCTTAATAGTTTTGTTGTTGTGTGATCCCACTCACTTGAAATGCGGAACAGCGGGTGCCTTTTGGTTAGGCAGTCGTTCTTTCATGATGATTCAAGGAACTTCAGTGATGTGGGAGGTGGTGTAACTGCTGTTAAGGGATTCCATTCTAGCTTCCGTACTACTCAGGGTGGCTTGTCTCTTAACATGGGTACCACTCTTTCTGTCCCTGCTTTTCAGTTGTCTTTGGATGATGGTTGATTGAGTTGAGTTGAGCTGTTTATTGCAGTTGTAATTTCTAACAGTGTAATCCTTTGTTGTGGATTGTTAATTAATGTTGCTGTCATCCTTTTCTTTTCTCTCTTGCTCAGATGTGTCCACAACAATGATCCTAACTCCTGGGCCAGTAATTGATTTTCTGGTAGTTAATCAGAATGTTCGAGAACCTCGCCATGTTGATTGGATGAAAGTAAGAAATTGCTAAACATCATCCTCAGAATCCAATATTGCCTTGTCTGAACTTCAATTGGTGTTAACTTTAATATCAGGCCAAAAGGATGTTGAAAAATTTGAGGGTGAAGACGAAGCATAACAACCTTGAGTTTAAAATAATTGGTCTGAGTGAGAAGCCATGCAATCAGCAATAGTACGGCCTTCTTTCTGAGTGCCTCTTCCTTCTTTTAGCTTCCACTCCTATTGTTATACCCACCAAAAGAACCTCTAACTTTTATATTATACTCCGTCATAGTTTTGCTATGAAAATGAAAAACAGGGATGGAGCTAGTGCTGAAGCACAGACTGTGGAAATTACTGTATATGAGTATTTCACTAAGCACTGTGGCATACAACTCAGTTATTCTGCATACCTACCCTGCCTTGATGTTGGCAAACCAAAGCGTCCAAGCTATCTGCCGCTGGAGGTCTGCGAATTTCTTTTCCTCAAGAATCATTCATAATCTGTTCACTTTAAACCTATCTCACTCTAATATATTCCCTTTCTTTTCATTGCTTCCAGCTTTGTTCACTTATTTCGCTTCAACGTTACACAAAAGCTTTATCTTCAATGCAAAGGGCATCTTTGGTTGAAAAATCACGACAAAAGCCTCAGGAAAGAATAAAAACTGTGACTGAAGTAAGTTTCCCTAGTCACCTTTATGCTTTTTATTTATTTCCTTTTGTTTTCCTGACTTGTCTAAGTCTTCATGTAATCTTTCAGGCTTTGAGAAGCTACCGTTATGATGAGGATCCTGTGCTTTCTTCATGTGGTATTTCTATAGAAAAACAATTGACCCAGGTTGATGGCCGCATCCTTGAAACCCCAAGGGTAGCCATGTTTGTGCATTTCCTTCTTTCTCTGTTTTTTTTTCTTGGGGTGGTGGTGGGAGCAGGGGGATTGAGTTTAAGGAAATTCTTAGTTGGTTTCCCACAACATAATGCACGTCCTTGTAATTCACAGTTGAAGGTTGGCAATAGCGAGGATTGTATCCCACGTAATGGGAGATGGAACTTTAACAATAAGGTGCTATTTTGATATCCAGTTATGCTGTTTGCTGTCCTGTTTTTTCTTATATTTTTTTGGGTAGGGTGCATTAATTGATGGTTAGCTGATTTATTAGCTTATGAATTGTGCTATGCAGACACTTTTAAAGCCCACCAGCATCGTTAAGTGGGCCATCGTCAACTTTTCTGCTCGCTGTGATATTAGTCACATCTCCCGTGAGCTTATCAACTGCGGAAGGAGAAAGGGCATTGTAAGTGACAGCAGTTGTTGATTCTAATCTTGTTTTGATTTCTTTATTCATAAACTTTAACTTTTTAAAATGTCCTCTCTTTCTTTCCTTTAAAAATTGTACGCATCCTTCAAGAATATCGAACGCCCACATACATTAATCGAAGAGGATCAACAATCTAGAACTGGCAGCCCGCTTGCAAGAGTTGAAAGGATGTTTGAGCTGATCAGAGAGAAGCTTCCAGGCCCACCTGAATTTATTCTTTGCGTCTTGGCAGAGAGGAAAAACTCTGATATTTATGGTATGGATTTATCCTGTTTCCTAGACCTCTCTCTTGCCAACCAACATGCCTGCCATTTGTCAGAGTTAGCTCTTTTAAATTATCTAACCAAGTTATGTTTCCTTGCATTTTAAAGGACCGTGGAAGAAGATAAGTCTCAGTGATTTTGGCATTGTTACTCAGTGCATATCTCCGACTAAGATTAACGACCAGTATCTTACAAATGTGCTTCTTAAGATCAATTCTAAGGTATATCTTGGAAAATGAAGCTAAAAGTATCTTTGTATTTGTCTCCCTAGGCTGGTATTGATGATGCCTTGTGCTTGTGTTCATACATAGCTTGGAGGAATAAATTCTCTGTTGGCAATTGAGCAATCTTCACATATTCCCTTGATAATGGATACTCCTACGATGATTTTGGGCATGGATGTCTCTCATGGCTCTCCAGGTCGATCAGACATGCCATCAGTGGCTGCGGTAACTCATCCATTGTTCCTTTGTGTCATGTTGACTTCTCAATTTCTTTGGATGTTGCCAAATACGATGCTGCTGCTGCTTCAACTTTCTGGAATTTTCAGGTTGTTGGATCTCGATCTTGGCCACTGATTTCAAGGTACAGAGCATCTGTAAGAACACAATCTCCTAAGGAGGAGATGATTGATGCTTTGTTCAAGCCTTTAGCAAATGGAACTGATGATGGTATAGCAAGGTATTACACACATGAGATTCATGTCTAAACAGCGCCCTTTTCTTTTTGAAATCTTTTACACAATTTATTTGAGATGCCCAGCTGTATTCATCACGACACTTGGTACTTAGTTTCCCCAATCCTTTGTTTTTAGAATATCAGTACATTCATTGCTATATGTACAGTCCATGATGTCTATACATGTGAGAATTCGCAATCTTCTTAGAAATTCAGTTGGTGGTTGATTTCAAGCATTTTTAACGAAGTCATTCTCCAGTTTCTCAGATGATGTTATCATCAGTGTGAAAGTATAAAAGAATCAACAGTAGATTTTTGAGCTAAATAATGAAGCAAAGAATTGCATTTCTGCTTAACATGGAATCACCTTGTTGCAGGGAACTGCTAGTAGATTTCTTTCGAACAAGCAAGGGGCACAAACCAAAACAAATTATTGTGTTCAGGTATTACTAAATTATGTGGTCGGCTTTTTGCCGATTTGTTTATCATGACTAAATAGCTAAGATAGAAATTCTAGATATCACAATATTGAAACAATTTCCAGGTATTAATTCTTGCATCTCACAGTACTGTTTTAGTGGGATCTTACCAAATGATATTCTTCTAGAATAAAGAAGTGGCATTTGCAATGTGATTTTTTGAGCATTTTAATTATTGAGCAAAACTTTATGTTATCTGTGACATGCTTTAGTGTTTACTTAAAGTGTGAATACTGAACCATGGATTTATCATGATTTATATAATCATTTTTCCTCTTCTAGATTTTTGCTGTTTTTTACTGCTATGGCTGGACTTCTTAATTGGGTCTAGATTATTGCAGCAGATACCAACCTCTTCAATGCAACCTTAAATAAATTACTTTCTCATATGGTATGCTCAGTTGTACCAGACCATGATTCAGCAGAAGCCTTCCAAATTGCATTTTATTTCAGGTTCTCTTGAGAGGAACTGATAAACTAAGAGGCTAAGAATTATCATTAATGAAGATAGTATTTTGTTTATTCAAGGCACACAACAATGAGATCTGCATACTTTTTTAAGTCTCGTTGTGGTAAGATTGCAGCCTTTTTTTCCACAATAATAGTATCACACGTGTTCATAGTTTGTGAACAGTCAAAAGCACATGCCATTGTCTTGTGAATACATGTTTT